ACGAGATCATCACCGCGGAACTGCTGGCAACTTTGACTACCATTTAAATAGGTGTTTTAAGACACCTAATAATTACTAATTTTTCACACCTAAAAGTCACGTATGCCCAGCTTAGATTAATAATCCGTTTGACTCACGGGATCATCACCGCGGAACTTATGGCAACTTTGACTACCATTTAAATAGGTGCTTTAAGACACCTAATCATTACTAATTGTTCACACCTAAAAGTCACGTATGCCCAGCTTAGGTTAATATTCCATTTGAGTCACGAGATTATCACCGCGGAACTGCTGGCAACTTTGACTACCATTTAAATAGGTGTTTTAAGACACCTAATAATTACTCATTTTTCACACCTACATATCATGGATTCACAGCTTAGATTAGTAATCAGCTTGAGCCACGTGATCATAACCAATAAATTTATGGTAACTTTGAAACCATTTAAAGAGGTGTGTAAGACACCTCCGAATTACTAATTTAATATAACCAGAGATTCACGGACAGAACAATAAGACGATTAGCCGGTGTAAGCAACGTGATTATTACCATCAACCTTGGATAACCTGTGAAACCAATCGATAAAGGTGCTTACAAGACCAAATAATTACGTATTTATCGCCACCATCGGTTAACGGACAAAAAACTCGTTGCCTGGTCAAGTGGTTATTTGGTCATAAACACTCCACTTACAAAGGTAAGTGGAATCACGTTATTCCAGTCGCGTAATAAACTGGTGGTTTTTAGGTCAAATGAAAACGTGAACAGGAATACCTTTTTTGTTTAAATGAAGGCACGTGTCGATAACGTTTAAATCTAGTTCAAAAGGCGCTATACTTTAAAATCACTTAAAATACACTCCCAAAAGAGGTTACTTTTTAGTGTTCTGTTTATTGGGCGGGATTTACTTTGCTACCCGAACAGACTTAAAGGGAAAGTCCACCCTGAAATTAAGTTAGTTTTAATAGGAGTAGAAAAATGAGAGAAACAAGTCAGTGAAAGTTTGAGCAAATTCCGATTAAAAATAAGGAAGTTAGGATTTTTGAAGTTGTGATCAATCAAACACAAATTGGCAACTCTATGACGTATCATGCGAGCTCGACTTCCATTTGCTCAGTACTAAAAAAATCTAAAATTTTCATTTTTTCTCAAGAAAAATTTCAACCATACATGCACCCTAAATATAATAATTGCAAATATGTTTCTATACTCCCCCTGCAAGGAACAAATATATATTCCGTCATCAATAACGAAGAAAACATGATTTTATGGAATATTATGCACAAAGCAAATGAAGGAGAGCTCGTGTAATAAGTCACAGAGTTGCCAATTTGTATTTGATTGATCACAACTTCAATAATTCATAACTTTCTTATTTTCATTCAGAATTTGCTCAAACTTTCACTCACCTGATTTTCTTATTATTCTGCCTCTATCGAAACAAACTTATTTTGGGGGTGGACTTTCCCTTTAAACATTGAAATATAAGAACGCTGACATATAAGAACACTGAACTATAAGAACATTGAAATATAAGAACAACGTGTTTTGTAACATTATCATTGTTTAACTACTTGGATGAACCGAGATAGGACAGGCCCTCCTTCAGGTCAGTGATAAACCTGTCCAAACCCTCATTGGAGAGATGCAATCCGTCCGGCCTATATAAAGCCCTATCCTTATGCCTTATGTCGGGGTGTGGAATGGCCTTTCCCCCATTCCTGCCGGCCAAGGCGCTAGCGTATCGGTTCGTGGCCCTCCTTCTATCGTCTAATTTTTTCTGCTCTTCCGGACTACAGCATTTATATTCTACCCGTTCTAGGCTGTCAGACCATATTATTGTCGTCTCAGTGTTCGATGTGATTAATCTGTTCACCGAATTCGCCATCGCCCTCTTCGAACATCCCTCTATGTCATTCGTGCCCACGTGTAACACTAAAACGGTCGGCTTCGTCAGGCCACTGGTAATCGACTCTAGCCATGCGTTTGTTTGGTCCAAGCGAAGGCCCCGCTTTCCAGCCCAATGGATGACCGTCCCCAAATCCATATCGGCGCAGCCAATCCGCTCCGCCCTGCGATGGGCCCAGAAAACGATAGAGTCGCCTACTATCCATATTTGTTCTGTGGACAAAATAAGAAAAGAGGACTGGGCAGCATTTTGTATTCCAAAGAACATGCGTTAATGTGAACTTGAAATCCCATTATATTTTCTTGCTCTTGTTCTGCATGTATGTTTGTTGTCTGCTTGACTTCGTTTTCATTTTCATGTTGTAGCACCATTATTATTATTATTGCTATTATTATTATTAGCTTATTTAACCTCTCGAGGCGAGGGACTTATTCCTCTGTGTGTTGTACATATATTCATTCCTGTGTATGCGGCCTCACCCTTACATTATTGGCCCCGGACACGTTAACCTCATCATTCACTCTGTTATATTTTGTACGTATACCTGGCGAATCAAATCAAATCAAATCAAATCAACCCCAACGGTACTTTGCAACATTGCTCATATTTAAACAACCGTATCAATATATCTGCGATGCGCTGAGGAAGCCCATCGACCCATGTGCTGTATATGGGCGTCCGAGCAGCCGGTCATAGCCAACATTTGGCCGCCAACATATCTCTGTATGACATGCATCTCTTTATCATGGCACTGAACTCATGCTTGGTGAGAGGAAGTGAACCATATGAGCAAAAGAAAGCCTCCCCACTTCCCGGGCGCATTTTCAAATATACAGTATAAGGACCGCCTTTACGGGACAACTACCCGCCTCAATTTCGTGTATTGAAATGGTGCAACCGTTTCCCCTCGGATCAGTTTTCGATTCCCTTAAACTAAGAGAGACTCACCCGGCGATGTGGTGCACTGCCGGTGACTGCCACGTCCGTAAAGCGCAGCATTCGATCCCGCCTATGCCGTAATGCCACTGTGTGATGTGCGACCAGGCCAAAATAATGATATGGACTCTCCTTTCTAACCAGGCCCAACGACAAAGGCCAGCCCAAAACCCGAGTATAATCCCGCTGGTCGCTCACGAGAAGAAATAATTCAGCGTTATATATCCAACTAATTATTCCAGTGCAGTGCTAACTTTAGTATTAATCCAAATCCTCTAATAATGTTTTAGACTCCGTAAATTTTTCTTCTTGTCCATTCAAAATGAAAGCCATAACTAGAATGAAAGCCCCTTCGTGCTATTTTTAATTTGCTGGCGGTATTTTCCGCGCTTGCTTGATAAGCGTACATACGCTTGTACATTTCCTTCCAATGTAATACAAAGTATTACATTTCCTAGCGCGTGAATTTCCCTCAAAAATGTAAACAACCTATTGACCTACATTTTGTCAGCCTGTCAATAAACCATTTTAAATCGTTGTCTACTCTTTAAATTTTAATAAATAAAAACACCGGAGAAGTGAATATTCCACTGACGTTTCGGGCATAGCCCTTTATCGAAGTGATTCAAGCATAAACAACAATATACAAAATCAAAAATATATAGGCGACGCTTGGTAGTCAAGATGCAAAGGCGCGTGAGAGTACGCGAAAGAAGAGAAAAAGAGATAGAGAAACGTCACAAAGCTCAAAAGTTGGACCATTGTGACGTGAGAAAATAGGAGAAAATTAGAAATATAGGGAGCGTTAGAAGAGCGTATCTCCAGGGGAGATACGCGGAAAGCAAAAGAAAAGGAAAAGAAAATATATATATATTTTTAAATATTTCGTGCCTGGCTAATATGCTGACTAAGTTGACGAAATAAATCGTATATTTATGTCGTCGAGGAAAATGATAATGTGCGCATACGCACGTATTGTAGATAGTGCATAGGAAAAATTATTTACTAAGCTTTCGGCCCCGGGTTTATGGGATTACATTTGTAGACCGTATTTGTCGGTGATCGGGGCTAGTTTTGTTGGTAATTGGTGGCCCAACCCCACACACACACACACACACACACACTGAAAAAATGTCTAGCGACACCCCTGCTTTCACTCCCATTGTTTTACATCGGAATCGGTATCACCCTCTCTCAATCTCTCATTCGTTCTCGACACCAGCACGTGAACATCAACAGGTAAATAAAGACTCAAGACACGGTTTATTTGTTGTTCAGCTACTGTTTGCTTCTCGTGGTTTTTTCTTTTTTTTTCGTTACATGAACAACAATAACAAAAATAACATATGTACAATAATATAACTTCATATAATACCCATGTGAGCAATTGTTTTGTTGATAAAGGATAAAGGATGAGTTTTGTCACATTGTTACCATTCCCATCTCATTGCATGTGTATAGACAAGCCATGGTGTGATTGTATCCCCAAACAAAAGATGACGCAGGAACGCCCGATCCGAGTCACGATCAGCCTCTACCATCCGTCGGTTAAAATGCACAAATTCGGCTAGTTGAGGAGAAAGAGGAGTGCGTGTGGGTGTGTGGCGGTGTTATGTCAGACATAGCACCACCACACACTCACTCGCACTGCTATCTCTCTCCAACAAACCGAACAAGTGCAAGATAACTGACGAATGAAAGAAGCAGAAAGTTTCCCAAACCGAGCGCCTCCCATGTATCCTACGTCACCAATTGCTAGGAGATAAATCACTCCATGACTGCTGTACACACACGCAATCTGACGGGAGTGGTAACAATGTCACGAAATAATCCTTTACTCATTATAAATAATAATACAAATAACAATAATGAAACTAATATAATAATAACGATAATTAAATTTAATTAAGTATGTGGGATAAACTAAATTATACTATCATATAAATTATACTAACATGTAAATTATACTAACATATAAATTAATCAATAAAGAATAATTATAATTAGAGTACTATAATACTAAGCAATAATAGGTAGATACATATGATTTATTATGGTAAATAAAATAAAGCTATGAGAGACAATAGACACTATCATGACAAGGGCTTAATACCCTATAGATGTTAGAGTTCTTCTCATCTCAACCCAACAGACCCCTCTTACCAAATCATGGAGTTCGATGTCACTAGCACAGGCATCTTCAGGAAAGAGGAAGTAAACAGCTCTGCGTTTGGTCACAACCAGACGCATCAACAAAGATTTATCTAGTTGTGATCAAATGCAGAGTTTGTTCTTCTGCCATTCTGAAGGAGAAGCCTGTCCCAGAGATATCGGAGAACATGATTTGATCTTAAAGCTGTTTGGTTCAAATGAGAATGCAACCCAACGTAGTTAATATCAATAATAATATCAATGTTTATGACGATGATGATGATGATAATAATACTACTACTAATAATAACTAATATTAATTATAATAATCTTAACAATAATTATTTAAAGGATAATGGAATAATTATATTAAAATATTAATTATAATACTCTTAACAATAATAATAATTATTTAAAGGATAATGGAATAATTATATTAAAATATTAATTAAAATAATTTTAACAATAATAATAATTATATTAAAATATTAATTATGGTCTTAACAATGATAATAATTATTTAAAGGATAATGGAAAATAATAATAATAAAAGCAACAACAATAATAATGTAAATACTAATGATAACTAATAGTAATTATAATAATCTTAATTAAAATAAAACCATCATCATCATCGTCATAAAACACTATTAATGATAAAAGTTTCATCCCACTCAGCTAAAGGTAATGCACAGTGTCAGTATCAGCCACCAATTTGACGGGCAAATACAATTACACCCCTCCCTCCCTCCGCTCCTGGCTGGGGCCGAGGAGTAAGCTAAGTGAGGGACTATCATCGAGGCTTGTTGAATACCTCACCACCTATACTAGCTCAATCTTAAGGGAGATGCGGTGGATCCGCACTCGATCTACATGACATGACTACCTACAATGTCTAGAAATGAAAATGCAGCTTCCCGGCTTTGAGTAGCACAGACCATACTTTCAATGAGACATCAATTAACTATTGAATGAGATGGTCGTATTTGCCTAGCCTTTGATCTCAAGCTGCTCACTTCAGATAACAGTTTACTGTTCACTACTTGACCCTAAGTTTTTAAAACCAATGACACTGTGCATTACCTTGAATCCCTATTAAAGTACGGTCAAACAGAAAATCTCCGGAAGGAGGGTTTCCCCTTGCCTAATCATGTTGCTGCTAAGAGGAAAACACAATTTAAAAAAAAAATACATGTTTGAGACTTTGCAAGGATTATTGGGTATCCTTCCCCGATGACTTTCCCTCATCCTGTGTACCTCCAGCCTTCCATTCACACTACCCCAGCCCACAATACATGATCCAACAACGGCCTGATTTTGGAAGAATATGCAAAGGGTCCCGGTGTGCAATATCTAACAATGTCAAATCTTCCTCATCAAGGTTCCAACTGCTCTTGAAAAGTGAAGAACCTTGATGAGGAAGATTAGCATGAACAAGAATTAAGACCAAACCCTTTGCCTTTTCTCCCGAGACCAGGTCGTGGTGAGATCATGTAGTATGCGCTGGGCCTCAAAACTCACACATCTTTCAGGTTAACAGTGCGCCACATCTCCCTCTTTTTCTGCTCTGCTCCTCTAGGGTTGTCTCAATACCACTCATGAGCAGATGATGCAGAAGGTAATCTGCATTTGAAGCCACCAAAAGCTCTCCTGTATCATGCTTGTCACCTAAAACTGATCAGACTCAACCAAAAGGTTAGGCACTGCATGGATGATGCAGATTTCAAGGAACCAACATAGTAAAAGAGTCACGTAAAAACGCATTTGCCCCCTTTTTGCCCAATATTTGGTTCCCTGAAGTATGTGGCTCTAAACTAAACTAAACTATATTATAAAAAAAAAATACACAGTACCCACCCCCACCCAAAAATGAAGAGAGAAAAAAAAACTCTCATCTTCCTCTCTGTCCCCATCCCCCGACTCCCTCCCTTTCCTCCTCTCTCCGTCTAAGTCCCTCATCCCCACCCCTCTCCTCTCCCTCTCCGTCCCCAATCCCCCGATCCCCTCCCTCCCCTCTTCTCTCCGTCTCAGTCGCCCACCCGATCCCCCTCTCCTCTCCCTCTCTGTCTCCCAGATCCCCTCCCTCCCCAATCTACTCTCCCCTTCTTTCACATTTCCCCTCCCACATCCCTCTCACCCCTTTTCCTCTCTCTCACCCTCTCCCTCCAACTGAAAATTTCGCGAATTTTTCCACATCCACAAGGCAGGAATAATTTTCCGCGCGTTCTTTGCAGTCTTTTTGAAACAAAGTTGGCGAAAATCGGGCATAAGTTGTAATGTGACTCATTTGGTGAATCAGATTGGTTTGGGCGACATTGAAACGCGACCCAAGAGCTTGGCTTTCTCTATTTACTGTTTCCAACAGTTCTTCAACTTTTTCCATGCGTGTGGCATAAAGGGTGCTGTTTTCTGCATATCTTAGGTTGTTCAGACTCCAGCCAGGACTTCTGTTAACAAACCATCAGTTGCTCTTCTCAATTGATGCAGTATAGAGAGAGGTTGAAATGAGATGGAGATGGTATACACCATTGCCTCCCTCGTCATTGTCCTAGGCATTGTCCTAACCAGTAACCGTCTCCTCTATAATTTAAGTGTGCTTCAATCATAAAGATCTTCATGAGCTGAATCAAATGGCATGGGATTCCCCATCGTCTATGTAGTCATGTCTCATCAAGCCTGCATAGGGATAAGATGGGATGGGGGCAGTGTACAGTATCACTTGAATCACTTCACTCCCGGGTAAAATCAGCCACTGACTCCTCTGCCAATGCAAAGATATGCTTGCTTCCACCATTTATGAGCTGGATCAAAATGACATTGTCTCACTAATCTCATCGTTTAGTGTGCCGGATGCTTGCAAAATCATCACGGGCTCCACAGCCTCTCCGAATCTAGCTTAATCTTTGTAGGAAGCTCAGGTTCAAGTAAAAAGCCTAGCGCCCCCCCCCCCCCCATTGAATTATGTAGCAAATACTTCCTTGTATGGTGAATAAAGACAATAGTCTGGTAGTTCATGCATTCAACCACATTACACAATCTTTGGCAGAGTGCTGAAGTTTTTCATTCTCTCCGGCCAGGATGTTGAGTGCTAAATCATTGCAGGATGTCCCTGATCACTATGTCATGCAATGTATGTATTATCTGTATTCCGTATTAAGCAGTCTTTCTTAGAACTCATTCCGGTAGGGCGTCAATACCAGGGTCTCCTGCCAAGCTGCATGTACTATCAACTTGAGATGTATACTCTAGGTGCCATCTATCGGGCTTTGACGATCATACTGTTTTTCATCCCTCAGACTCTAGCATTCTCTGTCGGCAGTACTTCCACGTTTCGAGGCTGTCGTATTTTCAGAGATGTGACTATGCTGAACTTTACAACGGTCCATTTACATTCATTATGAACAATTCAGTGAGGCTGCTTAAAAGAGTGTCCATACATTTCATATGCCAGTTCTGATGTTTTCCCTGAGGATTTGTCCCACCATCGGCTCTTATATGCAGGGTATCATCACAAAGAGAGGGTCTAAACTGGTTTGGTAGTCTGTTCCTAGTCCCTTACTCAGTCGGCTCTATGTGGTGGCGTGCATCACAAGGAAAGAGGTCAAATTGATTTGGTTGTGCGTTCCCAGTTCCTCACTCAGTCGGCTCTATGTGGCGTGTCATTACAAGGAAAGAGGCCAAACTGGTTTGGTTGTTGGGCCGTATTCCCTCATTCACTCGGCTCTATGTGGCGTGTCATCAAAAGGAAAAGGTTTCAACGGGTTTTGTTGTCCGTTCCTAGTTCCTCACTCGATTGGCTCTTATTGGTTTGGTTGTTCGTTCCTAATTCCTCACTCAGTCGGCTCTATGTGGCGTGCATCACAAGGAAAGAGGTCAAATTGGTTTGGTTGTCCGTTCCTAATTCCTCACTCAGTCGGCTCTATGTGGCGTGTCATCACAAAGAGAGAGTCTAAACTGGTTTAGTTGTCTGTCCCTAGTTCCTCACTCGATCGGCCAAGAGGTGTGGTTGTCTGTTCCTAGTCCCTCAATCAGTCGGCTCTATGTGGCGTGCATCACAAGGAAAAAGTCTAAACGGGTTTGGTTGTCCGTTCCTAATCCCTCACTCGATCGGTCGGCTCTATGTTGGATGTCATCACAAGGAAAGAGGTGAAATTGGTTTGGTCATCTGTCCCTATAGTCCCCCACTCAGTCGGCTCTATGTGGCGTGTCATAACGAGGAAAGAGGCCAAATTGGTTTGGTTGTCTGTCCCTAGTCCCTCACTCAGTCGGCTGTATGTGGCGTGCATCACAAGGAAAACGTCTAAACGGGTTTGGTTGTCCGTTCCTAATCCCTCACTCAGTCGGCTCTATGTTGGATGTCATCACAAGGAAAGAGGCCAAATTGGTTTGGTTGTCCGTTCCTAGTTCCCCACTCAGTCGGCTCTATGTGGCGTGTCATAACGAGGAAAGAGGCCAAATTGGTTTGGTTGTCTGTCCCTAGTCCCTCAATCGATCGGCTCTATGTAGAATGTCATCACAAGGAAAGAGGCCAAATTGGTGTGGTTGTCTGTCCCTAGTCCCTCACTCAGTCGGCTCTATGTGGCGTGCATCACAAGGAAAAAGTCTATACGGGTTGGGTTGTCCGTTCCTAATCCCTCACTTGGTCGGCTCTATGTTGGATGTCATCACAAGGAAAGAGGTGAAATTGGTTTGGTTGTCTGTCCCTAGTCCCTCACTCAGTCGGCTCTATGTAGGATGTCATCACAAGGAAAAGGTCTAAACGGGTTTGGTTGTCCGTTCCTAGTTCTTCACTTGGTTGGCTCTATGTAGGATGTCATCACAAGGAAAGAGGTAAATTTGTTTTGTTGTCCATTCCTAGTTCCTCACTCAGTCGGCTCTATGACGGTGGCGTGTCATCACAAAGAGAGAGTCTAAACTGGTTTAGTTGTCTGTCCCTAGTCCCTCACTCAGTTGGCTCTATGTAGGATGTCATCACAAGGAAAAGGTCTAAACGGGTTTGCTTGTCCGTTCCTAGTTCCTCACTCGATCGGCTCTATGTGGCGTGTCATAACGAGGAAAGAGGCCAAATTGGTTTGGTTGTCTGTCCCTAGTCCCTCACTCGATCGGCTCTATGTAGA